TCAGTTGTTTTTGTTATAATTCAGAAGAAAATATAAGCACTGAAAAGAAGGAATTATTGCATGAATAAATAATCTTCAGCATGCATTCAGCTGAGTATGGACTTCTGTGAAATCTAAGCATGCCTGGTTTGGGAAATTTCTTCTTTGCAAGAGTGCAATTATAAAAAATAATAGCTTATTTCTGAATTTTATCTTATCTAAGATCTCATTTAAACCSTAGCAGAGTAAAGGAAGGGAATGTAGGAATTCTTCCGATGAATCAAGTTTTTTTTTTTTTCTTTAAGCCTTCATGAGAAATAGTCTTTTACTGTCTATAAATTTCAAGGGAGACATGTGACACTGTAAATTAGTAACAGAAAATATCTGCTTGAGAGTGTTCATGGTCAAAGAGAATGCTTCTTTGTTGAGCGACTGGCAAAGAAATAGGCAAAAAAATGACTCAATGTGAAAGTAATTACAAGAATTTTAAGAAAATATTCCCTAGGGGAATGCATGCTCTTTTAACCTCTCTGCAGCTAGAATGAACTACAGCAGCAGCAGCAGCAGCAACAACAACAAAATAGGCCTATAAAGAGTTGTACAGAATTTAAAAGGGCAAACATTTAAGTCACAGGATAATCTGGAAGTTACAGAGTCCAACCCTCTGATCAAACTGGGGCCATCCCTGAGGTTTGACTGAGCTTTAAAGTTAGATTAGCTTGCTAGGGAACATCCTTCCAGGTCAGGTTGCTAAGGGATATCCTTCCTGGATAATCTGTTCCACGGCAGGGCTGATGAAGACATTTTTCATTCTATTTAATCCCTTGTTGCAATTTGTGTCTGCTCTCTCTTGTCCTTTTGCTGCCTGCCTCTGTCTTCTTCATACCTTTCCATTGGCTAGATGAAGATATCAGTAAGGAAAACCCACTGAAGGCATCATCTTAGCTTATCCCTAGACAAACAGCTCCCTCGGCCTCTCCTTGTACATCACACACAGCATGGGCACCTCTACCAGGCTCTCTCCAATATGCCAGGACCCTCCTTGTACTAGGGAGTCCTGAACAGACACAGCACTCCAAAACACGGCCTTGCAGCATATCGAAGAAATTCCAGATTGTTTCTTATCCACTTTTGAGATTTTCAGGGCATGATGATATTTTATATTTGTCTTATTCCGTGTTATGGTATTACTTTGCAGTAGGAAGACAAAGGCTAACTAAGAAATACAATACAAAACACAAAGTATAATAAAGCTGCTTTTGCAGTGGCCATTGGGGCAAATCTAGAAATAGCCCCAATAGCTCCAACCTTCAGACAACATAAAGTCTAAGGTAAAGAAAAAAAATAAAATGAGTGTTCCCACTATGGGACTGTGCTGGTATTCCATAAATGAAATATTTGCTACAGCACAATTGCAGGAACACACAACCTTCCAGTTGGGCAGTCCAGGAGCAAAGAGGATTCTCAGATATCGAGGCACTTGTAAATCTTAAAATACCAGACATCTCATCCATGCATCCCTGGGTTAAACTGGTTAAACTATTCTGCAAGCCAGAAAGCAAGTAACCCCAAGCAGACTATTTGGTGAATCCAGGTATGGGACAGTCTGCTCTCCAGCTCAGCAATAAACACAGCAGTGGCTTGGGAGGGAAGCAGGGAGTCTGCTGTCAGAGCTGCTGCATTACAGACATACAGGCACCTGATAAAGACACCTGGCTGGGAACATGGGAATCTCAACAAGTCAGGGCATCAACAACTTGAGATCTGCACACTGGCAATAACCCAGCAGGTAGGTTGTAGGTCAGTTAGGCAATGAGCTTCTCCACCGACTTGCTCCTCAGAACAGACAGGCATTTTTAGCTACCTGTAGCATGTCTGAGTGACCTAAGCCCTGTGATCAAGGTGGGGGTTCTTATCGCTGCAGGTTGATCACGACACTACGGTGACACATTCAGGATAAGCCTCATGCTTGTTCACCTCCACCATCCACAGCATCTGTAAGTAAAGCAAAATCAAAACATGCATCTTTCACAAGGCACTTGTGAAAATAATGGTCTCACCAAAAAAAAGGCATTCTCTTAGGGAGAAAGCACATGAGTAAGAACGTGAACACACAGTGTACTATCCATGGCAGGGGTTTTAGGACTATGGGTTCATATATCTATAAGTTCTCCTTCTCTGGCAAAAGCCAAAGTATGATYTTCCATTTAGGAAATAGTAAAATGTAAAAAACATGGAACAAAACTCTGTGGGAAGCCATGTCTCACTAGCTCCTGAGCTCAAGAAACTACAAGCAAAAGGTGACTGGAAAAACTGACTGAGAGAGAGAGGAATAGTAAGATGGATAGTGGTAATCCATTTCATGAGCAAAAGCATTTACCAACAGAGAAGCAACCAAAGGTCCCACCACCGCAAACAAAARTCAGCAGAAGAAGTCAGAGAGCAAGGACCTGTTCAGATAAGCTGGGAGTGATAAGGCAGAATGGCAACGCTGAAGTCTCACTCAGAACATAGCAGGTTATGCCACAGAAAGTATTCTCAAATTGATGCCAAAGCCATGAAGAAAGCCAAGAATGGAGATGAGGTGTTCAGCATGACTTCTATTACATTGTCCTCTGCCCTTAGTATTACTGCCCTAAATGATGTTGTGATTGACACAATTGTTGTTTAAGGGCAGAAAAGGGTAGAATTACGCAGTATTTAGCAGACAAACAGATGGTTTATCTATCTTGCTTTCATAATACATACACCAYATCTGCTCCTACGCAAACACAACATTGAGGTACGGCACCTGAGGGAAAAAAAAGACAATATATATATTTCTATTTCCATAATCCAAACTAGGTATAGAACGAATTGGTGTTATCTAAAAAGTGTGGAATGAAAATTTTTGACTGGGGCCCAACTCAGATAAGGCCACAACATTTCCCATAGCAAGAGATGAAGTCCTTGAAGCAACAGTTCAMAAATTTGCCACTTCTAATACCAACTTCGACAAAAAGGTCTTTCTCATTTCCCAATGAGCAATACTTCAGTGGCAAGAACAATCAAGCAATAGTACAAGTATCTGGGGCTGCAGAAATAATTTGCAGCATTTTCTATCACATTATTTTTTTTTTACCTATTCAATGTTAGCTTTAAAGCTACAAATTGAAACTTGAACTAAGTCCTATGTATGCTCAGAAACAGCCTCTACTACATATTACAAAACCCTTCTTAAACTGCATTTTTTGAGGAATTATATTTATTCCTTTGCACAGGCTATTCATTAGACGCTTATATCTTTGTTCTCTTGCACAGGTTATTAATTAGATGTTTGAGTGAAGAGGTGATCGGCTTTTACTTTCTGATCTGCCCTTAGACCTACCTGGAAGTCAGTGAAAAGCGAAGACTCAAGCAAACTCACTGTGAAAACATAATGTGCCACAGGCAGCCCTGAAAGGCAGGGCCACAGGGATTTGAAATCTACAGACCCCACAAGGGAACAAGCTTGGAATCTGGAGCCTGACCGGTTACACTGGGTTTCTGCAGACGGCTTGAGCAGTGATGCTGCTGCTGAAGGTCGTGGGCTGGTGGCAGGTCTTCCTCCACAGCCTGGTCCCTGCCTTCCATCCCTARCCTTGCAGACCTGCCTGGCTGAGGCTGGTGGCTGGAAACACACCTTCCTTGCTGYCTCTCACAGCTATGGTGTGTCCGGCAAGCTCTTCATGCCTTCTGAGCCCCTCATCTTTCACCAGGCACTCTACAGAGCTCAGAAGACCCTCTGTGCTGCCAGATGCCCTCAGCAGGRCAGACCAGGTGAAACCTCGGGGCTAAGCCACAGCTGCCTCTTGCACATGACCCRCTCACGCAGGTGACGTTACGGGCACACTCAGGCGCTCCACGTCGTGAGCGGGCGGCCTGGCACCTACAYGGCCCCGCTTGCCACGGTTAATGAGCTCTCTACGTGTGTTGACTCTGCCTGAGTTCCTTGGGCAGCTCCCGACCCTTGCCCGCCTGCTCGCCAGGCAGCGGGACCGCTTGCCCCCAGTGTGGGCAAGGAGCCCCTCGGCACCAGCCGGGGCTTGCGGCTGGTCTCACAGGGATGCACAACCAGTGCCACAAGCGCCCGTGGCCTCCCCGGGCTGGCGCTGCCCGGACAAGGCCGCGCGGGCACCATGAGCGCCCACCGGGGCACGCGCTGGCCGGGGCTCTGCGCGGTTCTCTCCCCGTCTCCCTGCGGTTCCTCCGGCCGGGAGGGCTCCCCCGCTCCCCCCACGCCCCGGTGCGGACCCTCGCGGCAGCGCCTCGGCCTCTCGCTCAGCGCTCGCCGCCCGCCCTCGCTTCGCTTCGCGTGGCCCCGCGCCCCGCTGCCGGCCCCGCTGCCGGCCCCGCTC